ACACCCCCCAGGAAGCAGCCCGTGACAGCTGACTAACTCCCAGGTACCTACTTACTGCTAGGTAACAGGGGCACTTAGGGTGAAAGAAACTTTGCCCATTTGTTTCTGCTTCGTGCGGGAATCGAACCCGCGCCACAGAATTACGAGTCCTGCGCGCTATCCACCAGGCTACGAGGTCCCTTCGTAGGTGAGTACACACACACACACACACACACACACACACACACATCCAGGAAGCAGCCACTAACAGCTGTCTAACTTCCAGGTACCTATTTACTGCTAGGTAACAGGGGCATCAGGGTGATATAAACTCTGCCCATTGTTTTTTGCCGGCGCCTACCTACCCTATGTGGTAGGGTCTATGTGGGAGGGTCTATGTGGGAGGGTCTATGAGGGAGGGTCTATGTGGGAGGGTCTATGTGGGAGGGTTTATGTGGGTGGATCTATGTGGGAGGATCTATGAGGGCAGGGTTATGTGGGAGGGTCTATGTGGGAGGGTCTATGTGGGAGGGTTTATGTGGGTGGATCTATGTGGGAGGATCTATGAGGGCGGGGTTATGTGGGAGGGTTTGTGCCTCATGACCAGCGCCTCATAACGACTGTTTAACCGTTGGGTTCTTGTCTGAGGTTTGTTCTTAATTACTGCCGACATAAACAGCCTTGTTTTGATTACCCTCCGAAGTCTTCCCCTTGATTATCTTACTTATTTATCATGGTTATCCCCTTAATATTTCCCAAGGATTACCCCTTAATATATCTCAGGGTTACCCTTATGTTATTCCAGGATTACCCCTATTTTATCCTTTTATCCTACCTTCCTTAATTCCCAGGATTACTCTAAAAAATTTCCATGATTATTCCTATTATTTCCAGGATTAAATATATTATTTTCCGGGAATACATCTGTTATTTTGCAAGGTTTCATCTGTTAACTGGATTACTCTTATTATTTTCCAGGATTACTCCTATTGTTTCCTAGGAATACCCTCATTATTTCCAAGGATTACACCTATTATGTCACAGGATTACACCTATTATATCACAGGATTACGTATCTTGTTTCTCAGGATTACTTTATCTATTTCCAAGAATTACTTTCCTAATTTCACTGGATTTTTTTATTTATTCCCATGATTACCCCCCTATTATTTGCCAGGATTACGCTCAATACATCCCGGGATTGATCTCGGAATATTCTTGGATTATCCACATTTTATTCTAGCAATAACTAAGTTTTATCTCAGGATTACTCGCATTTTATCCATGAATATACTTCTTATTTCTTAGAATTATTTTTATTATATTCCATGGTGACCATCATTAAATCCTAAGATTTCTCTCATTATATATCAGGATTACCATTATTTTATCCCTGGATTACCCCTCATTATATTAGGATTTCCCTTTATTTTATTTCATTATGACTCACAGACTTTTTCTGGATTACCCTAATTTTTCCCGCAATTGCTCTCATTATATTCCAGGATTACCTTCATTATATCTCAGGATTATCGTCGTTTTATCCAATATATTGCCTCTATTTCCCAGGATTTCCCTATTATATCCTAGGATTTCTCTCATCTCCCAGGACTAATATTATTATTTTCAAGAATTACGATAATTATTAGTTTGAATTACGTTATATCCATGGAGTATCATTATTACTTATCAGGATTATCCCTCATTATATCCCAGGTTTACTATCATCATTATATCCTAAGATTACCTTCATTTTATATTGTTTATCATCTACCTTGTCAAGACCAGACTGACAGATGACAGACTGAAGGATTACCTTCTCACAAGTGCAGGACTCTAAGAGGCAGATCATTCAGTGCTTGACACCTTTGGTGGCGCATTACACAGGTGCCAGGCACCTCGGGAACACTTAGTAAACATGTGTTGAGAACATGTCATGTCGAAGAACATGACATGTTGAGAACATGTCAAGAACTTGTCGGGAGCCGGTCGGCAGAGCGGACAGCACGTTGGACTTGTGATCCTGTGGTCCTGGGTTCGATCCCAGGCGCCGGCGAGAAACATTGGGCAGAGTTTTTTTCACCCTATGCACCTGTTACCTAGCAGTAAAATAGGTACCTGGGTGTTAGTCAGCTGTCACGGGCTGCTTCCTAGGGGTGGAGGCCTGGTGGAGGACCAGGCAGCGGGGACACTAAAGCCCCGAAATCATCTCAAGATAACCTCAAGATAACCCTATGCCCCTGTTACCTAGCAGTAAAATAGGTACCTGGGTGTTAGTCAACTGTCACGGGCTGCTTCCTAGGGGTGGAGGCCTGGTGGAGGACCAGGCAGCGGGGACACTAAAGCCCCGAAATCATCTCAAGATAACCTCAAGATAGCACTGCAGCCTATGTGGTTCCACAGCACTAAACCGAATGTGATTTCTAGATCACTACTACACTTGTTAATTACTGGAATAACACCTTTGAATATGTACTGAGGGTATATATTAGGTGTATTAGCACATATGAGCCTGAAGAGCACTAATTAACATGTGAATAGCACAGATACACATGTGTTAAGAGTACTTAAACTCGTTCAATTCAGGCGTTATGTTTAGCAATGTTGAAACATATTAAATCATTCCCAATTAAATTATTTATCTGCTCCTATTAAAATGTTGGGTTTTCATTTCGATTATTATAAATAAAATTAAAACAATTATCTCTCTTTTACGTTGTGAATTCGAAATAATGAAGAGCTAACAATCCATAGCAGATTCTAATTAAATTTGAATATGACAATTTAATTCTCACAAATTTTCCAACAGTAAATATATGTATGGTATTCGAAGCTCTTTCGAACCGTGGATACATGACATTGTTTGAAAGTTAAGTTGTAGGGTTACGGTGGGTAATTAATTATTCTCTATATTTTGACATGATAAGTCACTAATTAACTTGGAATGTCCTGTATTGACTATGTCGCTTATTCTACACGGCTCAGTTCGATTGGACTTGGCCAAATACTGTTTTGTTGTTGCTGTTTTAGATTCAGCTACTCGGAACAAGTTCCAAGTAGCACGGGCTATGGTGAGCCCGTAACTTACCTGGTACACCAGCGGGGGGCCAAATACTGTGATTGTTGTCCTTATATATATCTCGTGGTTCTGAACAACTTAAAAATTGTGCGGTGATAACTAAACAGGGTAAACAAATCACATGATGCGTGACGAGGGTTCGAACCTACGGCCAAGATAACCCAGACGCGTCATTTGATGTATCCCGCTATTGGGATTTCTGTGTAAACAGGGTATTTATCACTGAAAAAAAGGTTCTTTGGCTATCAAGTAAAATCTATCGACACGAGTTATGGGATACCCAAGTAGTTGAACGTTTTCAGACACTTACAAGGGAGGATCAAGTAAGAATTGCCGCCCATTCCCTTGGTGTCGTGCTCAACCGCTTGGGCTGGACGGTAGAGCGACGGTCTCGCTTCACGCAAGTCGGGGCTCAATCCCCGACCGTCCAAGTGGTTGTGGCACCATTCCTTCCCCACTATCCTATCTCAAACACTTATCCTGATCCCTTCCAAGGGATCAAATAGGCGTGATGGCTTGGCGCTTTCTCCTGAGCGTTCCCGTCCCTTCTCCCTGTGTCACTCACCAGTTGGAGGAGTCCATCAGCTTCGACGAGAACTGTAACTCACCTCGAGTTCCCAGAGAGTGGTGGTAGAACGTGAACACCTCTAAGGCATTTAAGGCATTAAAGGCTTTTTGCGCTACCGCTCACAGGATGAGTATAGGGTGCACAATAAACTAGCCGCCTCCGGCAGCAACAATAAAAAACCTGTAAGGCATCTATGACAACACCCAGCTTGAACTGCCCCCTTACACAGTCCTCTAATAACTGGACAGGCCATGACACCCCCCTTAACTCCCCTGAAGTTGTAGGAACAGGCTTCGTTCCCCTCGATCATTCCCCTGGGGTCTGGGAGACTCGAACCACGGACCCCACTCTTGTGAGGCAGAAGCTCTATCCACTCAGCTATGAGTGTATAACTCTTAAGTAACTTGCTCAGGTTCTCAGTCACAGTGCACCAGCAGAGCACCCCGCGGGACGCTTCACACTACCCCTGGTATGGGGGGGTTCGGTCATTATATCCTCACCCACGTTATTGTGCCTCACCGTCTGAAAATATACTTTATCCCTGAACATAACTCAGGACTTGAGTAAACCCTCTGTGTCTATACACCGGGCAATGGGGCTAAACCTTATGGTTTATATACACCATGAAATGCATACTCTAGGGGGACACTTTGGAATTACCTTCACACCAACGCTTAAATCAATCATCAACAGGTACGTGTGCCTTTAACTTCCTCAGAAAAACTGTACACAAACTACTATTAACAGACTAACCATCTGCCTAAGTGGCTTACACTACAGCTTCCGTGTAATTCGCTAAAAACACCAACAGGGATATTTTTCTACCCAAAGCCAGCTTCTACAAGCGCTTGAAGTCAAACTTGCTAAAAAAGAAAGCAAGAATATCATAATTGGAAGAAAGACTGATATTAATAAGTACATGCTATATACACAACCAATTACGATGTCAAGACAAGGGTGCAGCATTTAACAAACATAAGATCGAATTAATTGGTATAACCAAATGTTCTGTGTAAAGATCCAATTTCTTTATAAAATTTGGTATTTAAGAATAAAAATCACACTCTAAGAGCAGAAAATACACGCATTATATAGCTGATATCTATTTAGAACTAAGATCTCTGTAATGATATCATTATAGGGTCAGCCAGATTACGATACATCATTAGCCAGCATAAGACAGGAAATTGCAGGTAACGAATCATTTCATCTCCGTGAAAAGTTATTAATTATTTGTTGCAGATGGCAAAAGATATCTGCAGATAAAAGATATCTGCAGATTTGTAGCTATTTCATTCACTCGTCAAACTTGAAATATATTCCAACATTTTCTTCCTTGTTCCCTCCCTCCGTAGATGCAAGTGACCTACACTCTCAACACGATGGGTTGAGTGAGCAGGTAGACATGGGTTGAGTGCGTAGGTAGACATGGGTTGAGTGTGCAGGTAGACATGAGTTGAGTGAGCAGGTCGACATGGGTTGAGTGTGCAGGTAGACATGAGTTGAGTGTGCAGGTAGACATGAGTTGAGTGAGCAGGTCGACATGTGTTGAGTGAGCAGGTAGACATGGGTTGAGTGAGCAGGTCGACATGGGTTGAGTGTGCAGGTAGACATGAGTTGAGTGTGCAGGTAGACATGAGTTGAGTGTGCAGGTAGACATGTGTTGAGTGAGCAGGTCGACATGGGTTGAGTGTGCAGGTAGACATGAGTTGAGTGTGCAGGTAGACATGAGTTGAGTGTGCAGGTAGACATGAGTTGAGTGAGCAGGTCGACATGTGTTGAGTGAGCAGGTAGACATGGGTTGAGTGAGCAGGTAGACATGTGTTGAGTGAGCAGGTAGACATGGGTTGAGTTAGCAGGTAGACATGGGTTGAGTGAGCAGGTAGACATGTGTTGAGTGAGCAGGTAGACATGGGTTGAGTGAGCAGGTAGACATGGGTTGAGTGTGCAGGTGGACATGTGTTGAGTGTGCAGGTCGACATGGGTTGAGTGAGCAGGTCGGCATATGTTGAGTGTGCAGGTAGACATGGGTTGAGTGAACAGGTAGACATGGGTTGAGTGTGCAGGTAGACATGAGTTGAGTGAGCAGGTCGACATGTGTTGAGTGAGCAGGTCGACATTGGTTGAGTGTGCAGGTAGACATGGGTTGAGTGTGCAGGACGACATGGGTTGAGTGTGCAGGTAGACATGAGTTGAGTGTGCAGGTAGACATGAGTTGAGTGAGCAGGTTGACATGGGTTGAGTGAGCAGGCAGATATGGGTTGAGTGTGCAGGCAGACATGGGTTGAGTGTGCAGGTAGATATGAGTTGAGTGTGCAGGTAGACATGAGTTGAGTGTGCAGGTAGACATGGGTTGAGTGAGCAGGTAGACATGGGTTGAGTGAGCAGGTAGACATAGGTTGAGTGTGCAGGACGACATGGGTTGAGTGTGGAGGTAAACATGGGTTGAGTGAGCAGGTAGACATAAGTTGAGTGAGCAGGTAGACATAGGTTGAGTGTGCAGGACGACATGGGTTGAGTGTGGAGGTAAACATGGGTTGAGTGAGCAGGTAGACATAAGTTGAGTGAGCAGGTAAACATAGGTTGAGTGTGCAGGTAGACATGAGTTGAGTGTGCAGGTAGACATGGGTTGAGTGAGCAGGTAGACATGGGTTGAGTGAGCAGGTAGACATAGGTTGAGTGTGCAGGACGACATGGGTTGAGTGTGGAGGTAAACATGGGTTGAGTGAGCAGGTAGACATAAGTTGAGTGAGCAGGTAAACATGGGTTGAGTGTGCAGGTAGACATGAGTTGAGTGTGCAGGTAGACATGAGTTGAGTGTGCAGATAGATATAGGTTGAATGAGCAGGTAGATATGGGTTGAGTGAAGAGTCTTAAATAGGGACTCAT